ATTCATTATCTACATTATATACTTCCATTATGTTTATATTCTTTAAACAAGTTTGAAATTAAAGGATCCACTTATAAGAGGTACAGTCGAACAATGCTATAACAACTTAATGTAATAAAAACTTCCTGGAGGTTATCAACTGACTCAACCAAATCAGAATTTAACTAAATGATTATCTCTGTGAGGTCAACCTTATCCTCTCTCTTCTTCTTCTTTCTTATCTCCACTCAATCATATTAGGGTATCAAGCTTGTAAAGCTTGAGACTTTTGATGGTGTATGCTGGGGAAGAGTAGAGCTCATCAATAGATGAGTCAATACAGTCAATAATGTGTTTTGGGGTTGCAGGTTGAGAATTGCACTTAGTACATAGTGGGAAAACCTTGCAACCATTCTGGAAAGTCATTGTCCGTAGATGACTAGACGTAAGTCTGGAAATCAAAGACTGTTATTCTCTTGGGAGGACAGAACAGGTGCTTGTCTCTCCTGCTCTGTACCAGTCATGTGCAGCATTAAATTTCCATTCCTGCAGGCATTGGGTTTTGATGGTACGGAGGAAGTCATCTAGTTGGGTGGCATCCATCTCAAAGCAACACATTTTGACTACAATAGAATAACAATTAAAGTAAACATCCTGAAACAATACTTACCTTTGCTTCATTCTGCCTAAATTAAGATAGTTTCACTTTCAATGGCATTCTATTGATTGATTATATGTACGCTATTGTATTGACTCCTGGTTTTTTTCTTCTTCTAATCTCTATATTTATTTATAACTTCAACAACATATTTATAACTTCTGTTTCACTTATTTATGCCAGATGTGTGTGTTCATTTTATTCTTTTGTAAACACATGGTAATAAGACCAGATAAATAAATATTTATTTTTTTGGAATTTGGTCTTATTACTTTGTCTTTTGTAATCTATAATCTAAATTGTGCCTTATCATTATTTTTAAAGGATTTTTTTTTTTTTTGATAAGGCACAATTTGGATTATAGATTATAAACACAAGGTAAAAAGACCAAATCCAAATAAATTATGCTATTTATTTATTTGGTTTTGGTCTTATTACCAAGGATTTTTTTTTTTTTAATTTTCAAGAACATATACCCAGTATTTCTTTTTAATATTATCCCAAGTACATGTGGTACAAGCTACGATCTTCTTGGTTGGTAGTAGTTAACGACTGCATTACTGCAAGTGCACTACATGCCTACCCATGTGGAAAGCAGTTTGACTTTCCACTTAACAAGTGTGCTAAATTCCTGTTTAGTTACTTACATTCATTATTGGGGTTGTGGAGGGCCATTGGGGTAATGTTTTATTCTTAAAAAAAAGTTCCCAATACGGAATTTGATCCCGGTTGTGGCTGTCAGTAAATGATGTTCTAAACCAACCTTCCACCAACTCCCATGCCCAGTATAAATTGGTTTATCCCAAAAAAAGGAAAGGAAGAGCTAAAGTAATAAGACCAAATCCAAAAAAATAAATATATATATTGGATTTGGTCTTAATAACCTTGTGTTTACAAAAGAATAAAAAATAAATACATCTGGGATAAATAAGTGAAACAGAAGTTATAAATATGTTGTTGAAGTTATAAATAAATATATAGAGATTAGAAGAAGAAAAAAACAACAACCAAGAGCCATTACAATAGCGCACATATAATCAATCAATACAATGTCATTGAAACTGAAGTCAGCAAACACAAGTATATATATTTTTTAATTATCCCTAGTACACGTGGTACAGGCCATGATAATTATGGTGGGTAGTTAGCGACTGCTTTTACTGTAAGCGCACCACATGTCTACACATGTGAAAAGCAGTTTGACTTTGCACTTACAAATGTGCCAGAGCCCCATTTGGTTACTTGCACTCGCTGGTGGGGTTGGACTTTTGCAAGAATCGGGGGCACAAGTGATAATAAGTCTAAATCTGACATCAGAATTTAAAACGCTTATGGAGATATGTATCTTTATTTTGATCTTCTCAAGCTTTCGGGCTTGTCTGCCCTTCTACAGGAGAAACAATATATAACGAAAATACAACGCCGCCTGATACTAAAACTATTATAATAATAGTTTTAGTATCAGGCGGCGTTATATTTTTCGTTATATATTGTTTCTCCTGTAGAAGGGCAGACAAGCCCGAAAGCTTGAGAAGATCAAAATAAAGATACATATCTCCATAAGCGTTTTAAATTCTGATGTCAGATATCCAAAGGAGATTTAAATCGATTCATTTAATAAGTCTAAATAAATAGTGTGTATCCTTTTGGTAACAAAATTGTTACCCATCATTAGACTAAAGTACTGAATCAATTTATTTGGATTTGGTCTTATTACAGAGTAGAATCTCCATTAAAAGACACTCATGCTAAAGGACACCTATCTACAAAGAACAGTTTTCATTTGATAAATTACCATTTTTACTAATTAGCAACTCTCCAGTAAGAGAACACCTCTTCCTAAAGGACACTAATGTCCTTTACAGGGAGGTTCTACTGTACCTTTAGTATCTAATCTATAATCCAAATTATATTACAGTAGAACCTCCCTTAAGGGAGAGGTGTCCACTTGCCAGAGAGTTTCTAAATAGTAAAAATGGTATTTTTGGGGATGAAAACTGATCTTTGTAGACAATGACAATTAAACAACTTTATTGACATCTCGTCAATCTTTACACTCAAAGGGAGTTAGTTATAAGGTAATAATAATGGTAGGAATGAAGAGAGATATTTACAATCGACGTAGCCCTTGATCTTTGTAGAGAGGTGTCCTCTTATGGAGCTTTTACTGTAATTATATTAGTTCTTTTAACCTTACATGTTTCTAATCTATAATCCAAATTGTACCTAATCATAGCTCAGTAAACAAAAGATTGTACAGGCTTGGTGAGGATATCCTCTTTCAGATAAACATGGTTGTTGTGCCAAAATAAATTTCAACACCCTCAAATCCTTTTAAATATCTCCATGGTGAGATGAAGACCCCCCTCCCCATTGAAGATGATATCAAATATTATTCCAGTTACATAAAAGACTGGTGTGTACCTCCTCAGTCTTCTCTGTGAGGTGATTGCTATGTAGCCATTGTCTGGTGGTAAGATACAGGCTACTAATACTACCTGCTATAATAATGACTAATGGATACATATGGGTAGAAGCCAAATGAAGCTGGATTGTTCAGTTAATATACAACAAAACTGTCCATGATCATTCCATATGATAAAAGATAATCTTTAAATCATAAAAATCTTTATAAGTAGAAAATTTTACTTTCATCTCCCCCAGCTACTAATGAGAGACACTTTCAAGAGATACCAGAGATAGCCATATATTTTATGACAGTCTCTCCCAGTAGGGTGTACTTCATATATATATTATACATTTTCTAATATTAAATTTTTTGTTGTTTATTCCAAGTACATACTGCCATGATATTCATAGTGGGTAGTTAGCGACTGCCTTTTACTGTAAATGTACCATGTGTCTATATATGTAGGATGCTGTTTGACCTTATAAGCCCTGTTTGTTTTACTTCCATTCACTGGTAGACTTGTGCAAGAATCAAAGGCCATTAAAACAAACAGAAAAAGTGTTAAATGTAAGATTCAATTTTGTATTGTAGTAATGTCAACAGTGTGCACCATTTCTCTACCAACTTCATATTTTGTACGGTGATTGAGTTATATGTGTATCAGCATTGACAATGATAAATTGTGTAGAATTGATTCACTTTGGTTCCATTCTTAACCTCTGTTTATACCCAGTTGGATTTAACTGTTTGTCAAAGTATGTTAAGGTGTACAATTTGGATTATAGATTAGAACTACAAGGCAATCAGACCAAATCCAAATAAATTAATAGTGTATGAGATTTTGGTAACAGCGTTGTTAACGAAATGTCACACACTATTAATTTATTTGGATTTGGTCTGATTGCCTTGTATTTGTTGAAGGATGATTTCAATGTTGTAACCCTCTAAATGATGCTGCCCTTAGAGTAGATAACATTGTCACCAGGAGATTACCAAATGTGTGGGGGGGATTGTGCAGCAAGTTTGAGGACGCAGAGCTAGAGAACCAGATGGGAGTCCCCAATACATGGGCCGAGGCCTTCCCTTCTCCCGGGGGTGTACCGGCATTGCCAGGTCCCCTTCCTGACGGAATGCCACTCCTGGAGTTGCAGACAGAGTCCGGTAAGTCTGCAAGCTGTCAGTTTGGAGAGCACAGGAATCTATCCTTGTTGTTGACATTGATTTGATAGGATGGATTGTTTAGGTTGATATGAATAATATGTCACAGTACCTATGCTATCACAAATTGGACAACCTGTATAACCACAGGTTATAAAATCAAAGCTGCTCCTTAATACAGTAAAACCTCCCTGTAAAGGACAACACCTAATTGCAGAGCCAAAGTGTCCTATAGGGAGAGATGTCCTCTTACCGGAGAGTTGCAAAGAAGTAAAAATGGTAATTTTTGCAAATGAAAACTGTCTTTTATAGAGAGGTGTCCTCTCATGGAAGTTCTACTGGTTCAAATTCACATTAATAGGTACCGCTCAGCAAGAGCAACCTAGTTCATGATAATTGAAACAGTGAATAATATGTGAAGGTTATTCACATATTAAACAAATTTTAACGCGGGATTCAATCCCGGTTCATGACTGTCGGGAATCGAGTGTGTTACCCTCTCATCCACCGACTTTTTAAAAAGATAGCGAAAAGCGTGTTCGAACCAGGGACATCAGGTTCTAAAGTCTAAAGCTTTCGGAGCTAGGCTATTTTGCCTTGGAAGTTCTAGTGTACCAATGAGGGCCATAGCTTGAAATTATGATTTTACAGGTTGGCCTTTTCTATTATTATTTGCCAAAGAGATGATGTTGTGCCCAGAGAAAGTGGAGAATTATTTTAATAAATTTTAAAAGAGAGAGGCCCACTCTTTTTGTTACATATGAAATTCACATCCTCCCAAAATATTACCTTATATACTGAAACCCGGGATCAAACCATTGACCTTTAGATCTTCAGTCTAACATTCTCCCAAACGAGCTATTTGGGGGTGATATTACCTTATATTGGAAGCATCAACATTTTTTTTTTGTCCATATTATATTTTTATTTATATAATTATATTATTTATGATAATATGTAATTCTGCTGTCCTCAAAGCTTATATCCATAGTTCATCTAAAAATACCCATTCCAAGAGTCTAGCATCAGTATCACTATAAAAGGAGGTTCCAAAAATGCAATATAACAGCACTATGGTAGATTAAACTGGCGAAACCGCTGGGAGGGTTCACCACTGATGAGCCAGGCCCTCCCATTAATTTTTCCATTGCAGTAAGGTCAGTAGAAATTGTTTTATTTTTAAAAAGAATCATACGCGTCTATAATAGTTTCGTATTTTGATAGATGATAGTTATCATCATTGAATTGTTTAGTTGAACATCCTCAGATGATAACATGATGATACATAGAAATAATATTAACACCCTGTGAAAACATCTTCCTCGATTCTATATAGAATTGTTTCCTACTAGAATTGTTTTCAAGTTTAGGTTATGTGTGAAATCTTTTTGCACTTGTGTGATCTAAAATTCCCACCTGTGTTTCCCTAGGTCCATTTAATAGTCCGGAGAACAGCACCATGTTCACCGTAGAGCCCGGACCCCTCATGGAGGACATTAAGGGTGAGTTCCACTAAATTTCTTCCTTGTAGCGACTTGAAGTTGGAGAAACAACAACAAATAATAGTGCACATTGTTGTTGTTGTTTCTTATCCCTTTGTGTAAAGAGTACACAAATTCCATGAGTTCATGCTCCTCGAGCTGTTTAATGATAAGCAGCGGCCTTTCCCAAAGGTCCTGTTTAGTGTTGTTGTTGATGTTTCTTATCCCCTTGTGTAAAGATTACACAAATTCCATGAGTTCATGCTCCTCGAGCTGTTTAATGATAAGCAGCGGCCTTTCCCAAAGGTCCTGTTTAGTGTTGTTGTTGTTTCTTATCCCCTTGTGTAAAGAGTACACAAATTCCATGAGTTCATGCTCCTCAAGCTGCTTTATCATAAGCAGCAGCCTCTCCCAGAGGTCCTGTTTAGTGCATCTAATACAAGCCAAAATGTGTTCTGGAGCTACAAGTGCCAAGCTACGTTTTGGGCAAGTGGGGTAGATTTTGTTATTATTTTCTATCTTCTTATCCTCTTATCTCCAATAGTGACTTTTGACAAAAATATATGTGACACAGCTTGACATAAGCATTACAAGGCCAAAGCTAAATAATTAAACTGTATATGACATTACAGTAATAGTGTTGTTACCATCTCGAGACAAAAAAAAAGTACTGAATACTGAAGTAAATCATATAGTACTTTTTGTGTCAGAAGATGACTATAATGCTGTTACTAAATCGTCAAGTACAATTTCAACTATTTGGATTTGTGGTCTTTTTACCTGTTTCTAATCTGTTCCTTTCAACCAATGGCTCAAATTTTTTTTTTTTTTTTTTAATATGGATGATTCGATAGAGCTTACTAAAGAGTTCCATAATATCCATTGGAATCCATAGGGCTATTCCATTTTCACACACATGATTATTTCTTATCTTCCCCCAACCAAAAAAAGTAATAACATGGTTCAACTTGATAAGGCACAGTTTGGATTATAGATAATGGATTTGGTCTTATTACCTTGTGTTTATGGTTCAACTTGGGTCTTACCAAAGTCACAAAGGTATTTCCAAGCAATCCAATTTGTCTTGAGACTCATTGATGCTGCTGACCAAGATGTATATTAGATTCCTTATTTACACGCTTGTGTAGTACATGCAAATCAAAGCAGCACCCTGATTTCCCTGGTTTATTGTTGGTGCTATAGGAGGGATTTATATAAAATGTTCCTTTGGTATTATTACTTTGGTGAAAGAATATTTTTAGATAGATGGAAATAGACTCTGGCCTCAATTTATTGTAGTCTCCTGCATATGTGTCTTTCCACTGCATCCCACTTTTGTAATTACCATAATTTTAATAGCGCACAATATTTTCAAAATTACAGAATTTGAATGAATGTCTTGACAGTGACATGCATGTGGCAGATCCCCAGGCCACACCAGGTCTGTGCGGCCTGCGCAACTTGGGCAACACCTGCTTCCTGAACGCTGGTCTGCAGTGTCTCCTTAACAACCAAACCTTTATGTCTTTCTTCCTCTCTGGCCGCCAGACCATTCTGCCACGGTCCCTCACCGCCCACTTTGTGGAGGTGGCAGCCAAGGTGTGGAGTGGGGGCTATACCGTCCTCAATGTGACGGACTTCAAGGAGAAGCTGGGCAAGTGCCACCCCCAATTCCAGGACTTCCGGCAACATGACTGCCAGGAGTTCCTGGCCCTACTGCTGGATACCCTCCACGAGCAGCTCAACACTGCCAGCCTGGCTGCCTTCGATGAAGATTGTACGGCCACCCTACCAGCCGCAGCTGATGATGACATGTCCTTCGATGACAAGACGGTGGAGTTCGACCCCAACGAGACCCGGTCGGACCCCACCACAGATTACGACGAAGAAGAGGAGGAGGAGCAGCCTGCGGAGGAGACGCCCTCAGACACAGATGCTGAGCACTCCACAACCCCCTCCTCTGCCTCCCAGAAGCCCCCCCTCCCCGTTCCATCCATGTCAGACAACAGCTCCCACTCCACATCCCCCCACAGTACAGACTCCCTAGACTCCTGGAAACTGAACGGCAACTTTAGATTCCTGCCCATCCCAGATTCAGTGAAGCCCTTCAAGGACATTGCTGGATCCTCACACAAGCCCGCTAGCCATGCTGCCGCAACAAACCCCCAGGACCACCCAGAAGCCCATAGCTCCAAAAGCCAAGTCTGTGATACCTCCCTAGAAAACATCATTCCCATCGAGAAACTCTCTAGAGGAAAATCCTTTACAGGCTCCTTAAAGCGAGGGGCCAGCTACCTGAGTAGCACAGAGGATGCCGGCGGCACGTCGCGCAAGCTGGAGAAGAATGAGTTGGCCACTCAGCAGCTCAACTCCTGCCTAAAGCACATGCCCTCCTTGGAGGACTTTGTGAAGGACTCCAAGACCCTCAACACCAACGTGCTGGTGAGCCAGGAGGAGGTCAACAACCAGCTCAAGTTTGACAGCGAGAAGTATCCCCGGACCCCCCGCCCCAAGGAGACTGTGGACAATCTGGGCATGGAGTCCAAGCTGGAGAAGCTGGCTCCGCTGAAGGAGACCAACCTGCTCAAGTCTCCAGATGCAGGGGCCTCCGCCCTACTACCTCCAGAGGAGAGTATCCACTCCAAACGGATCAAACTGAGCAACGAGCCGGAGACTACCACTAAGGAGGAAGAAGAAGAAGACTCCACGGACTCTGTCTGCTCCACAGGAGATGTCTTCATGAAGTGTCCGGCGGACCCCTCAGTCCTGGAGGAAGAGGCAGACAGCGAGTGGGCCAAGTACAGGTCCAAGAACCAATCTATCGTGGTGGAGACCTTCCAGGGACAGTTTCAAAGTACGGTACGTAGTATACACTTTCTGGCTTCTCCTAAATCATTAGCTAGGCCACCATTCCATTGGAATCATTATAATAGTAACATGTGCTATATCAATCAATCTATTCCTTTATTAAGACCTTTTATTCTTATATATACAAGTTTACTCCTGAGAGAACCAGCAATGATTGGAAAAGAGAAAGAAATTGGATTAAAGCTATGTAGGAATTAAATGTACATCAAGAGCTATAAATACAGTAAATACAGTACTATAGCGAACCCCAATGAGACTGAAACTGTGGTTTACTATAGCCATGGTTCGTAATATAGCCATAGTTCACTGTATTATAAAATATAAATGGGGATTATTTCAGGTTCACTATAAGAAAGGATTCGTCGCTATATCCCAGGTTCATATTACCGGGATTTCACTGTATTTTGATAGAATATTATATATACATAGGAGTTATATATGAATTCTCTTTGGTGCTCATTTTTATATACAGATATCCGTAAGTCAAGGGAAAGGGTAAGAAAAATACTGGAGACTCAACAAAATAAGAGAGAAATATATATATATATGTCATAATTTGTATAATTAATGCCCAAGAGATATAATTTATTTTCATCAAAATAAGTATGTAAATATGTTAAGCTTGTGTTAAAAAATGTAAATATGTAAATTCATCCATCTATAAAAGCTGTGCAAAAAATAAAGGTGGCAGACATTGCGGGTGCGCTGTTCGCTTGGCTGGAGCTAATTCTTGGTTGCGCCCTTTCATTTGACCACGACAGCTACGACACATATATATATATATATAGAACTCTGAATAAATAGTACAACAGTGAAATTGTACTGGGATCAGGTGGGTAAATTAAGAAAAAGTCATTTCCTGATTGTGCAACTGAAATTTTCTGATGGCTTGTACCATCTGTCAGAATAAATATCAACTTTCCGTTGATTTTTAATTATTCCAGAATTGGCCAAATACTCATTCTTGGCAAAGCTGACAGCTTGCACCACACTGACCAGGGCCAACAGCTCGAAATGCATACGTGGTTAGCTTTACTTGATTAATCAAGAATGGGTATTGGGGGGTCGGTGGAAGGCTGGTTAAACCTTTTGGTTTTCGACCACTACGACCCGGGTTTGATTCCCGCATTGGACACTTTTTTCTGTGTAAAAAAAAAAAAAAAAATGCTCCAATGACCCCCCGATTCTTGCAAAAGTCCAACCCCACCAGCGAGTGCAAGTAACCAAACGGGGCTCTGGCACATTTGTAAGTGCAAAGTCGAACTGCTTTTCACATGTGTAGACATGTGGTGCGCTTACAGTAAAAACAGTCGCTAACTACCCACCATGATTATCATGGTCTGTACCACGTGTACTAGGGATAAGCAAAAAAAAAAAAGAATGGGTATTCGGCCAATTCAGGAATAATCAAAAATCAACGAATAGTTGATATTTATTAATACAGATGACACAAGACATCAGCAACTTTTAGTTATACTATCAAGAGATGCCTTAGTATATGGAACTATGGAGCCT